CTGCTGAATTTTTACAAGTTATCCTTGTTTGTTGTTTTTAAGGAAAAGTCATCAACAAAGATTTGCGCCACTACTTAAGCCTTCAGTTCCAGAAGGGCTCAATAGACCATAAACTCCAGCAAGTGATCAGAGACAATCTCTACTTGAGAACCATCCCTTGTAAGTATGTAAAGATCAGCCTCATTTGCTCTGTTCCTGCTAACTGTCACACTTTGAGAACTCAAATTGCCTTCTTTCTTAATCTGGTTTATAGTTTTACCTTGCAGCAGGAACTTCTATAAATGGCTTTGCTAGAACAGTTTCTTATTTTAAGTTGCAGTGAAAAGTTGCAGCCAATATGGGCTAACAAATCAGCAAAAACTTCAGCATTCAAAGCTTGGAGTGTTTCAGTAATATTTGTGTTTTACTATTCAGAAGTTGGTTGGTTGTTATTTTGTTAGAATAACCACAGCTGCCATGGAAAATAAATCCTCCTCAGCATGATCATGTACTGCAAACATGTTCTCATTTTTGTCAATTATTGCTTTTTGCATGAAGAGGAATCTGAGACCTTGAGAGGGTCCCTTTCATTAGACAGAGTAGCACAGTTGGAAGGAGTGTTGGAGGAGGGATTTCATGCAGAAAGGTTTGTGTGATGGCAGAAGGTATGGGGAGCTGTCTTTTGCCCACCCTCAGAAGACGTGGTAGTGGCCAGAGGGAGAGAATCTGTGGCCCAAGAAAAGGAGGATGGAGCAGCGCATGGACAGACTTGAACGTCACAGCAAGAATTAATTAGTGAGGGAATCTGGCTGGACCTGTCTCATCAGTTATGCCAGCCCTTCTGCTCTGAGCATCTGCTGGCATCCTCGGTCCAACCAGCACAGGTGTTGACCTGCCTGTAGCCAGCAGCCTCAGGGCTGGTTACTGCTCCTGCGAGTGGGGTGCTTGAGAAAGCACCGTTCAGGGCATGGGGTGCTTTTTTTCTCTTCCTTCTCAGTACTAGAACTGTCATTCCTACATAATTTATTGGCCTAGTTTTTATACTTTATTGTTAAATTCCTCGTCAGTGTTCTAACTCTTATCTTACTGGAGTGACATCAGCATTGTGCAAAGATTAAAAAAATATATGGGTTTTTACTGAATTGTACAGCAGGCAGCATTGGTAAACAGGCAGCACTTACGTTTCTTACAAGAGTGTTTTGTCTGTCTTTTCAGGCACTACAAGGGCTCCCAGAGATGGGGAGGTCCCTGGGGTAGACTATAACTTCATTCCTGTTGAGCAATTTAAAGCACTGGAAGAAAGTGGAGCCTTGCTAGAAAGTGGAACTTACGACGGTATGTTGGTGACATTTAATGGAGTGGGTATAAGGATCCAGTACTCACATCCAGTATCTTGGTCTAAGTGGAGCTCCTTGTACCCAGGAGGTGCCACTTTTTCTGCCCATTGATGGTCATTACACTAGCGACAGTATTAAGCCTATTTTTGGACTGCTCTGAAAAGAAGTAGTGGTCTCATTTTACAGCTCTCTGCTAAATCACAGGTTGTCCTCTCAACCAGTCTTAATGCTATTTAATTATTTTCCCTATTGTGCTTTTGAGGAAGCATTCTGAAAAATGTTTGTCTGTGCTTGGTACAGTTTTGTTCTAAGAGAATTCAGTCAATTTTGTTTAATCCTTTGAGAACAGAGACCTATTCTTCTCTGAAGCAGACATGGAAAGGACAGAAGGCAAAGGAAATTCTGATACAGGATGGGGAGGGAAGGGGACATATTTTGCAATGAAAAATTGAACAGTGCTAAGCCAGATTGTCCAAGTCTGTAGCAAAGTTGATTTTGTTCAGTGTGATGGGGAAAAACATTGTAATGAATGTAGCAAACCATCAGGAAGTGGTTGTCCAGAGGAGTCCTGGAGCTGGCACCATGTGATGGGCTTTTGCTTTGGTCTTTTTGACAGAGCTCAGTGGCAGTCAGAGGTGGCTTTAAGGCTCCTCATACCCTTGTACTCAAGGTGCCTGGATGGTCCAAAACCCACCTTTGTTTAAAGTGTGAGGGAGGCAATACCAGTCTGGCTGGCTCAGGCCTGGGATCTCTGGCACGCCTGTGGCGCGTCCTCTGGTTGCAGATGGGTTCAAGCAGTGACTACCTGGGTTCTGCTGCTTTTTTACTATTGAATGACTTGCCTCTTGACACTGAGCAGAACAAATTGCAACCATCTGGCATGGCTTCTTGTATCTAAGTTTGTAAAAGCTGAAACGTGATCTGGCCAGATTTTTTTCTAATGTCTATTTGTACTTGAAAAATTTGTACAGCTAAATTACAGTGAAGTTTTCTGAAATGTGTGCAGCTTTCATTGAAGCTCAACAGAATTTACCAGGTTTTAAATCCACCTGATGTTTACATACGATAAAAATATATTTGATTCAAGCAACTTTAAGCACACATCTAGAGGACTTGGTAGGTTTACTGGCACTTGAATTAATTTGATTAATTCCTACCCTCAAAACAAACAAACAAAAATAAACCCCAACATAACAAAAGAAAAGAGAAAGCAAATGTCCAGAGTAGAAGATTCTGTAAAGGTTTCTGTATCTACTTGTTCTACATGTCTCATGCTGCCTGTTAACGTTGTCCTGTCTGTGGAAATCTCCCAAACAAATTTAGACCAAACTAGCACTTTTTTTTTACCTTAGCTCCCCTTTATCTGGCTGTCACCCCTTCGAGCCTCACCCTCACTGATACTTTTCAGAATGGTAAAAACCATATACAGCC